GTAGTGATACTGCCTCGGAAACCCAAGGAGGGGTCGCTATGAGTCGGGTCCGACTCGAGGGCACATAACGACAACAACAACAACATTAATGATCAGGGTGAGGAGGGAGCCCCCCTCCCCCCCAATACTTTCTTTTAAGAAATGGTGACATTCAGACATGGCGTGTTGGGATGACTAAAGCTTTGTGGGGAAGGAATCCTAGATCAGTCATCAGGAACCCAGACTTGCCCTGGCCTCTCCCAGGATTGTTTGGCCATGGGTGAGCCCCCAAACCTCTGACCTGATTTCCTCCTTGCTAGCACCTGCCTACCCATGTCAGAGGCTCCATGGGGCTCCAGTCAGGTCAGGCATGAGTTCTCCCTTTAAAGATATTCATGTATTCTTTCCCACAGAACTACCTGAAGAACCAAGTCACACCTCTCTTCAATCACTTCAAAACTGTCACCAATGACTGGAAAGATCGCCCCCAAAACCTAATGGACCAGTGAGTGTGACCTCCCCTGGGTCTGGAGGTCCTGGTAGCCCAGCTACCCCAACCTGGGAAATCCAGAGCAAGACTTAAGCAGTGTTCTCCTTTGGAGCTCCCAACTCCTGACCAGGGCAAGGGACACCAGGCAAGAGAGAAATCCACCTAGGAGTAGAGGGTCTACTGTGAGGCTCTATGCAGCCCATCTGACCCCTTTGTCCCAGAACACAACTGAAACTCCACGGTCATCTCACTGGTTTGAGGTCAACAGCTAAAGGTGTGGATGCTGGGACTGGAGCCTATGGCGGTCCCTCTGGGTCCCTGGGTTGCCTTGAGGACCAAGGAAGCTCAGGCCCAAGGCATAAAGCAAATAGTGAGAGCCCCACAGGCCAGGCAGACCACAGCTGTCGACAAGGCCCCCACATATCCTCCAATGCCTGCAGTTGTGTGTAAGGAGGGGTATCTTCACGGGGTTTGGGCCAAGCATGCTGACCATATGTCCTTCCTGGGGCAGGTACAGTGAGATTAATGCCATCAGCACCGCCTGCTCCAATGGGCTTCTAGAGTGTAAGGAGCTGGTCTCGAGGCTTTTTGCAGAGTGGATGAACAATTCTGCTAATAACCCGTGAGTGTGTCCCTGCTCCTTCTCTTCCAGGCTTCACCTATCCCTTAAGCTGAGTCTGGGAGCCCATAGCCTTGTCCTCGTCTTACCTTTGTCCTACCCCTCCTTGCTGCTGCTCTACCCCTGATCCTCATTCCCATCCAGGATCCACCCCAACTTGCGGTCCACAGTCTACTGCAATGCCATCGCTCAGGGTGGGGAGAAAGAGTGGAACTTTGCCTGGGACCAGTTCAAAAAGTCCACACTGGTGAATGAGGCAGACAAACTCCGTGCAGCTTTGGCCTGCAGCAAGCAGGTGTGGATCCTAAACAGGTGAGGACCAGGGTGGGGTGGGGCTGGATGAGCTTCCCTCCCAACTGGAGATCAGGATCCCTTTGTTGGGGAGAACCTGCCAGCCCTCCACACATTCATTCATGCAAGCCTTACATACCTGCGAGGTGTGGGCAGTATTCTCCCCATTTTACAGATGAGAATACTGAGGCTCAGAGAAGCAAAGCAATTGCTCAAGTACTAGAGCCAATATTTGAACCTGTTTGGCTCCACATCTTGTGCTTTTAGCCTTTTAACCATCGCCAGATGGCAACTTTATTTCCCTCTCTGTCAAGGGATCTGTGGCAGCTGGACCCAAGTCCTTCTGGACCCTAGTTGGCCAACCCCCCAAACACTTGGACAAGGGCTTATAGCTCCTACTTTGTACCTCATGCCATCAACTGGACCTCAGTAAAGAAAAGCCATCCTCAAAGTCAAAGGCAATAGTAGCCATCATACCTGATGCCAGAGGTCAAGAATCTATTCCTTTCTTCCTTCTTCCCTTCCTCCTTTTCTTTATCTTCAAATATTCCACTCCTATGTATTTACCCCAAAGACTTGACAGGGCCTCAGACAGATACATGTATAGGAATGTTGCAGCACTATTTGCAATAGCCAAAGGGGAAAACCCAAGTGCCCATCAATAGATGGATGGATAAACAAAATGTAGTATATCCATATGTGTTGGCTGTCTAGTGCTGCTATAACAGACATAGCACAAATGTATGGCTTCAACAAACAGGGATTTATTCTCTTACAGTTTACGAGGCTAGACATCTGAGTTCAATGTACTGGCTCTAGGGCCTAGGTGAAGGCCCCTCGACCTTGGGCTTCGGCTCTGTCTCTTGCTCATGGCCCACTGGAGCTGGAGGCATCTCTTAACTCAGGCAGCTGCTGGCTGTGGAGGCTGACAAACCCAAGGTCAACAAGTAAAGTGGCACAGTCCCAAGATTATCAAGCAATACAGCAGGCCACTAGTACAAGTCCAGAACAGTCCCAAGATTGGCAGGCAACATGGCAGGCCACTGATGGACTCAGCCAAATACAGGATCCAGATGTGCCAAGAAGCTCCAAGATCTTTCCTAAAGTTTCTCATTATATACTGGAAACAGACTTCATTCCAAGGCAGCTACTCAGCTACTCAGAGCAGATTCCACCATGGAGTTGATTACCAACCTCATCATGGGGAATACTACATCCAGGTGCCCAGCCATTCAAAACCGCAGTCTAGCCAAATTGACACGCACCTTTAATTACCACACCATACAATGGAAATTATTAGACAATAGCAAGGAATTCAGTCCTGATGCAAGCTGCAACATGGATGAACCTTGAAAACATAATATTGAGTGAAAGAAACCAGACACAAAAGGACAAATAAGTTGTTGTTATTAGGTGTTGTCAAGTTGATTTTGACTCATAGAGGCCCAATGAGTAGAACTGTGCCATAGGGTTTCCTATGCTGCAGTCTTTAAGAAGCAGGTGGCCAGGTCTTTTCTCTTTTAGTGGGTTTGAACCATCAACCTTTCTGATAGCAGCTGAGCACTTAAAAATTCCACCACCACCATTACATGACCTCATTTATATAAAACATGTAGAATGAGTAGACAAATACATAGAGACCAAAGTAAATTAGAGGTTATTATTGGCTGAGGATGGAGGGGACAGTTAATGCTTAATGGGTAATGAGTTTCTGTTTCGGGTGATGAAAAAGTTTTGAAAATGAATAGAAGGGTTGTACAACATTATGGGTGTGGTTAAAGTCATTGGAGTATACACTTAAAAATGGCTAAAATGGAAACTTTTATGTTTCTATATTTTATCACAATAATATATATATACACACACACACACACACACACACACACATATATATATACACACACATATATTTATATAGGGCACCAGTTCCTTGTCAAGCATAGCATTTGGCATAGCCAGCGGCCCTGCTTAGGGAGGTCCATTTTCCATCTGCCCCAGGGGTCCCTCATCCCTCAGCCTGCTAAGGGATTGTGAGAGGATGCAGGAGGAGGTGATATATGTGGCCCTGACTTCTCTCTTGAAACTTCTGACTGTAGCTCCTGGCTGTGGTTGCTAACTTTGCATTCTGCCCTCCTCATAGGTACCTGAGCTACACCCTGAACCCTGATCTCATCCGGAAGCAGGATGCCACCTCCACCATTAGCAGCATTGCCAGCAACGTTATTGGACATCCTTTGGTCTGGGACTTTGTCCAGAGCAACTGGCGGAAGCTTTTTGAGAAGTGAGTCTGTGGACAGGGTGTCAGGAGGAGCCAAAAGCCCAGGTTGGGGAGCCCTGGAGGTGGTCTGTGTGCAGAGGGGGAGGGTGGGCAGTAAGTATGGTTGATGGGAGCATGCTCCAGGAAAGGGCGGGGAGTAAGGGACTCTGTGTTCAAGTCTGGCTCCCTCATGTTCTAGTGGTATGACCTTGGGTGTGTCTTTGGGTGTTAGTTCTCAGCTCCTCATGGTCATTTCCTCTCTTCTCACCCTGCAGTTACGGTGGTGGCTCCTTCTCCTTCTCCAACCTCATCCAGGCAGTGACCCGACGATTCTCCACCGAGAACGAGCTGCAGCAGGTAAGAAGCTGTCCCAGGCCTGGACACTGGGAGAGTGGGTGTGGTGGGAGTGAGCACTCAAAGGCCTGTTGTTCTCAGCCTAAAAGGGAAGCTGCCACTCAGCTCCATGTTGCCAGGCCTTCCTAATTCACAGAGAAGATGGGAACCCAGATTTTTAAGATGTGGATAATTCATTGTAAAATATTAATCTTGAGAATTTTTGTATAGGCACAAAAGTAAGGAGAATAATATAATGAATCACCATATACCCAGATTCAACAGTTATCAACATTTTGCCAACACTTTTTTTGGGGGTAAATAATTTTAAAGTAAATCAGAGATATTATATAATTTCACTTGCATATATTTTAGTCATATCTAAAATAAAGGAATTTCTTTAACTTAATTACATTGCCCTTAAGAGCTCTGGTGGCATAGTGCCTAAGGTATTAGACTGCTAACCAGAAGGCTGGTGGTTCTAACCCACCAGCCACTCCTCAAAAGGAAAGTTGGGCAGGCTACTTCCATAGTGATACCAACTCGGAAACCCAAGGAGGGGTCACTATGAGTCGGATCCAACTCGATGGCAGTGTGTTTGGTTTTGGTTTATCAAACTCAAAAAATAACAATTCCTTACTACCTTCTACACCCAGGCTATATTCAAATTTTCTAAGTTTTATTTTTCTGTGATTTGGGTGAAAGTTTACAGAGTAAATTCATTTTCCACACAGCAGTTCATACCTTTTTTTTTTTTTTAAGCCCTTTGGAATTGATATGTTTGAATCAGAAGGCAAACTCAACTCATTGCATTAGGTTGATTTGCCTTTTTTTATTTTTAAATCTAAGATATAATTCACATGCCATGACATTCACCATTAAAAAAGTATACAATTCCGTGTTTTAGAATATTCACAAGGTTGTGAAACCATCACCACTATCTAATTCCAGAACATTTTTATCGTCCCTAAAAGAAACTCTGTACCCATTAGAGATGACTGCCTATGTCCCTCTCTCCCAGCCCCTGGCAACCACTAATCTGCTTTCTGTGTCTGTGGATTTGCCTATTCTGGCTATTTCTTATGGACAGAATCATACAGCGTGTTGCCTCCTGCATCTGACTTATTTTACTTAGCATACTGTTCTCAGGGTTCATCGTGTGTAGCATCAATCAGTACTTTATTCCTTTTTATTATCTATAATATTCCATTGTATGACTGTACTACATTTGTTTATCTATTCACCTGTTGATGAACATTTGGGTGGTTTCTACCTTTTGGCTATTGTGAATAATGCTGTAATGAACATTTGTGTTCATTTTAATTCTTTTGGGTATATACATTGCTCTATGTATAAACCCCAAAGAACTGAAAACATATGTTCACACAAAAACTTATACACAAATATTCCATGGGAGAAAAGACCTGGTGATCTATTCCTATAAAGATGACAACCTAGAAAACCCTGTAGGGCAGTTCTACTCTGTCCTGCAAGGGTCACCATAAGTTGGAATTGACTTGATGACACATAATAGCAATATGGTAGTTCTGTTTAAGGTTTTGAGGAACCGCTAAACTCTTTTCCATGGTGTCTTCACCATTTTACATTCCTAGCATTTCTGCATACCATTGCCAACACTTGTTATTTTCCTTTTTTAAATTATAACAAACTAAGTAGACATGAAATGGTATTTTATTATGGCTTTGATTTGCATTTCCTTCTGGTGGCGTAGTGCCTAAGGCATTTGACTGCTAATCAGAAGGCTGGCGGTTCAAACTCACTAGCCACTCCTCAGAAGGAAGGTTGGGCAATCTACTTCTGTAGGGACACTGCCTCGGCAACCCAAGGAGGGGTCGCTTTGAGTCAGATCCGACTCAACGGCAGTGCGTTTGGTTTTTTGGAAGGCACTTGACTGCTAACCAGAAGGCTGGTGGTTCAAACCCACCAGCCACTCCTTGGAAGGAAGGTTGGGCAATCCTACTTCTGTAGTGATACTGCC